GCATAACTTTGACATTGAAAACAAAGAAAAATTGAAACTCAAAAAAACAAAAAAAAAAACAAATACATTAACAATTTAACATATTTTAACTTATTATTCCTTGTTTAATTCTGGGTTGCAATAAGAATCAAAATGACAGCTTCATTTCATCAAATTTACACTATTTACATGTGGACTATTGTACAATAGGCTGCATGTAAAATAGTGTAAATCATGGTAACTCTTCATCTCAGAAAGATCTGCAACTAAACGATCAAGATGATATTGAAGATGAAATACCAATAAAGGAGTTAAAAGGATCTGACCAAGCTGAAAACCAAGTGGGAAGAAAACCCCTTACATGGCCAATACTCATTGCAAACACAAGACATTAATATAGACAAAAATATGATTCATCAGTGATTGCAGAGATCTGGATTGTTGAAATGAGAAACAGAGGATTTATCCTAGTAGCTAAAGATCAAAGCCTGCTTACAATGTCTTTAGCAGGAGCATATTTGAAGGAATGGAGTAGATATAAAGTGTTCTTTCTCTACACATGCTGAGGAGATTATCTGATATCTGGTTACTCTGCTCAGGCACTAAATAACTTTAGAAATAGTTGTGATAGGGAAGGGCAACATAACATTATGACCCACACCATAAAGAAAAATAGTAGGTGTTAAAATGAGCACCAGAAGGTGATGTTATTAATTTGCCCATACATACTGACAGTAATTATTGTTCTCTCTCCTTAATGTTTTGTTTTGTAACTCCTTGCGTCTTAGTGGCTTTATAGCCTTGCTTGGAGTGAAATTATTAAAAAAAAATAATTCTAGGCTTTGTTTTAGTGATACTTATTTCACTATTTATTTTCTCAAACTTTCCTTTTATTTTCAGTGCTCCCTGTCAGTGTCTCCAAGCCTTCTTTCTTCATTATGTGCCTCCATTTTCAGCTGTCTCTTTCTGTCAGTAACAGTCCTATTCTTAAAACTTCCTCATTCCTCACATTTCCTGTCCATGGCATTCTCAACCACATCTCAGCCTATTCAAGTCCTTTCTTTATATATATATATATATATATATATATATATATATATATATAATGAAATTGTTTAGTATTCATTATAGAACATCAGATATTACATCAATTCAGCACTCATTTCATTGTTTTTAACAACATTTTCTGATCTCTTTAGTTTTCTCAATTTCAGAAAACCATCTTTTGCTATTATTGTGGTCTTCGTCATATTGTCTGTTACTATGCTACCCAGATAGGTACATTTCTACACCGTCTTGATTTTTACATCCTGGATAAATAACTCACATCTTGGTTTTCTTAAAGTTAATAGTCCTTTCTTCTTGCTTTCCTCATCTACATTCTCTAATAATTCTTTCTGAATATAATCACAATGTCATTTATGTAGCATAAATTTTTAAGGTTATGTCCACAAATAAAAAAATCTAGTAAATTTCCTGGTTCCACCAAGGATCATTTTGTTATACAGGTTAAATAAATCCTTGTACACTTTTTTTCTATTTTTGTGAATTCATTTAACTAATTCTCTATCCACATGCAAGCTATTTGTTCCCAGTCAAAGTTATGGATTATTTCAATAAATTTTCTGTGTAGATCCAGCTTACCTAACATTTCAAGGAGGTCTTTATATCATACTTTATCAAATACATTTGTATAATCTATAAAATATAGATGTAGATTTTTCTGTATATCTATCATTAGCCCAAATAGCATTTTGATCATAAACATAGCATTTCTTGTTCCAGTGACATAGACAAAGCCATATTGTTCTTCAACTATCTCCAGTTTAATTCTATGAACCCTATCCATTAATTATTAGTTTAGCTATAAATGATTCTCTTTCTCCCCACCATATATATATATTTTAAATATGAGGAATATTGTAAATTAGCTTAAAAGCCACCCTATTGGGTGGCATTTAAGCTAGCTCTTGTGGAGGGCTCTTGATTGGGCCTTTATCACAATAGGTAAGGAGTAGATGACATAGGTAACAATAAAGTATTGCATTAATGTTTAAGCTTACCTTTTAAAAGTTCTACAATAATTCTTCTGTTGCCACTTAATTTAAAGACAGTTTGATGTAAGTAGGTCCTTACTTTCCCTATAAACGATTATTTTTATTTCATAGGTGATTTTCACTGGATTTCACAATTAATTTTGATTATTCCCAAATTTATTTTCAAGTTATAAAAATCATTATCATACTAAAAAATTTATTGCAAAAATCACTGAAAACAGTTGCAGTAATGAAAACTTGGGAATAAAAAAAATTTCAGGATTGCAGTCTTGAATGTTTTAAATTTGCTCATGGAGTCAGCCCGATTTCAAAACGGTATGATATGTTAGGCTACGGCCTCTAGGAGTAAAGTTGAAAAAGTTTGATACAGTGACACTGACATTCGTGTATATAGATGTTCTGTAACTTCAGTGATGGGAGACAGTAAACACTGTCTTGAAAATCTGTTAGTATTTAAATGTTAAATCACTACAGTTACAGCCACTAAGTAGAATTAAGAATGAATATTTTTGTTATAAATACAAATTAATATTTATAAGAGATATTAAAAACTTGAGATGAAGAACATGAAATGGATAAAGGAGAGATTAAAATAAATTGAATAGTAGTGAGTAGGCTAGGATAAATTGAGAGATCTGAACAGAAAGAGTAAGTTGATAGGGACATAGGTTGGTAGATAAAGAAAAAAATCTTTTTTTTAATGCCTGCAAGATGTGTTTGCTGGATTTTGGGTGTGGTTCATAAAATCAGATTTAAACACACATATATATAAGAGGAAGACTTTCTTGTACAGTCCTCAAATCTGATGCCCACAATTACTGTTCTTATTGTAAATTTGTTTCAGTTACTATAAGGAAAGAGTTGCTCTCTATGAGTTCCCTGTTTTATAGAAATATCAGTTTGAATGGCACATGATAATAACTACCAAGATGATGGGACATTCCATTTCGGAATTTGTGTGGACATTTGTCATCTATGGTGTTACATGGATTACTGCAAACACATGATAGGACCCAATGTACCCAGCAGGTCAGTTCAGTATTCTCCAGCTTCTATGCGATATGGGAACATTTACCAGGATGGCTCTGTTAACACCAGGATACCAGACACAGTTATTTGAGACTGGAGTTCAGGTGACAAGACTTCACAAGGTCATTGGCCTCAATTGCCAACAAAGCACTATGTAGGCTGGCGGAGGTCTACATACGACACATATTGGGTTCATTAGTCTGCCTAAACATGTCATTGGCTGCAAAGCTTCATGACCATTTGCACCTATTTATGAACTATGTGCCCATACGACTATGGATTATTCTAGGTGATGTCACTAATTGCAACTTGCCCAGAATTGCTTTGAGGAGCATTTTTGGAGGCCTCTGATGAATGGCATGATCACCATGTTAATCTGACATGAACTCATTCAAGCAGAAGTGCTAATTTCTAGAGCACTTATTTTTTTTAAATTGTAATTTTCTTTCTGAACAGTTCTTTTAAATCAGTTAAGAGGGTAATATATCTCGGTAAAATTTTTTATTCCGTGATCATCCACTAAGGAGGATCTCTGATTTTTTTTGATTTTTATTATTATTATAGTAATACTAACCAGAAGTCTATAGTTATTAATTAAAATAAAATTTCTATTTTTCCCTTTTTTTTTTTTTTTTTTTTTTACATTTCTATAAAGATAAAACTGAGAAAATGATCGCTTAAAAAATAAAAATGTTTAAAGATTCCAACACATGAAAAATTTTCCTGAAAACTGAAATACTGTTTTTAAAAATAATTTTTAAAACAATCCCATTTGTGTTGTGTTGGAATCTTTGTAAAAAGTTTTTTTTTTTTTTTTTTTTCAGAGATGTGTCAGCGATTAATTTTTATGAAAATGAAAAAATTTGTCATTAAACAATTTTTCAAGCAAAATGTAGTCATGAAAATATTGATGCTTACAAGAATAAAATTTTCTCAGATTTTATTTATTTAAATAAAAAAAAACTATTCATTATAAAAGTAAATAATTAATTTAATATGTACTGAAATTTTCATTTAAATTGGACACTTCCCTGATTTTTAGCAATTTAAAAAATACACAGCCTCCACTCCAATTTTCCTTTAAGGGTTTGTGGCCCCAATTGGGAAACTTTGAAATAGATTGGGGAGTCGAGGCATGTTGAGGGGGAGCTAGTGCTGGCCTTGAGTATTGTCAGCATGATAAATAAAATTTTGTTGGTTATACTCTGGTATTTTTTAGAAGAAGGATCATGTATAAAATGGATATTAGCCCCAGGTTTGCAACCAAGTCTCTTGACAGATGGATGTAATCTCCACAAAACTGAGTAGAGGCACAAGACAAATGGACATTTAGTTTTATTACTATTTGTGTGTATATGTCTAAAAACATGTAAGTATATGGATACATACAAACTCTACTTGGCATTTATCAGACATAGCCAGTTGTTTATAGATCAAACTCACTATTTGTATAGTTTACAGTCAGACTAATATCCTCATCTTTGTTATTTTCACAATGTTTTGGCCATTGTCAACTCCAAACTTTTAAGGTGCCTATCTATCCAGGTAATCTTCAGGACTGCAAGAATAGGTTGTTCTAGTTCTACTGTTCATGTCTAGGGGGATCTTTTTTTGTTTTTAAGTACTGCTTAGAGATTGAGTTTACACTACCTGGCTCAGGTATTGTACTCATAATTAATTATTTTGATCGAATTGTTTTCTACAGCTTATGAAGCCTTTGTAGGTTATTTAAAGCCAGAAAATATTTTTCAGAATGTAAGAATTTTCTTTTGATAATAATGATTTAATAATACAAGTCTTACTAATTAACCCATAGCTGGGGAGGAGAAGAAGTGGGTTCATGCCTTTCCCAAGAGGATTTGTGTGTAAGTGAATATAACTAACTCAGCTGAAACTGAGCCATTATCCACTATACCACCTGCATATCCAAACTTATAGCACTTGGTATTCTCAAGTGGTAACCCATCTAGGTACTAACTAGGCCTGACGTTGCTTAACTTCAGTGATTGCATGAGAACTGGTGTTTCAATGTGGTATAGCTGTAAGCCGAACTCACAATTAAGCATGACATAGTAATTATTATGAACAAAAATGAAGACATTAGTCTGATGGTATAACTCCTCACCCCAGAAATTAAGACAGATCAAATTTACTGTCAATGACTTGAGTATTCTCAAAATAACCACAAGTAGTTGTAACTTAATTTAGTAGAAGAGAAGTTTAGTGCTTAGTAACTAAATGATTAACTAAGAAAGAAAGAAAAAAAAAAAATAAATGATCAGAAAAAATAAAAGAGACAATTGACGGTATGATAGTTTAGTGTCTACATTGACGCTTTCTTTGAATGACGGATTTGGTGGTAAGAACAAAAACCAAAAAACACTTAAGCACCACAAAGAATATAGAAGAACTCTTTGATTCCATGTGTCTTCAGTTATATTTCCTCCTTGTATAGCTTTGGCCCTTTTGTTAGCTCTAAGAATTCCTTCTCCCACGTGTATCCACCTGGTTCCAAATTGCAAAAACATTTGAATATATTTTAAACTCTGTTGTCTCACAGTTGGAAAATATGCACATATGTGCGATCTTGTATGAAAGAATTTGTGGCTCATTCTTTTGATTTTTTTTTTTTGGTGTATGGGGGGGAGGGGGGTGCTCACCTTTCTGGGAGATAGAGATGTGTTGAGGCAATGGGTGTGAAGGCGGTGTCTTTGCCCCCCCCCCATTTCTGGCATTTTTGTTAAGTCGCATTTTTAATGCAATTTATAAAGCAATAAATTATTAGCAGATGTACAAGACAATGCCGACATTTATCTATCTACTTCATTTCCAGATAAACTCGGATTTGACAGTTTATTTTCACTGTCTGTCACTTTCGTATCACTTATGCCCGACCATCATAGACCCACGTAGATATTACAGTGGTGACTAAGGTAAGTTTGTGATTTACACATGTCTATAAAATTTATCTTTGGCTTAAAAGCAAAATGAAATCACCTAGGGGAGTAATGTTTTTTTTATAGCCTACAGGGGAAAATAGAAGACCTTTTTTTTAAAAAAAAATTTATTATTGCTTTTCTTTTTTTTCTGTTCTTGACAGCACCTTCCCTTTTCATAAAGTTATTTTGCCTGTGACTTAGTTTAAATATTTCCAAGCTACACCTTCAAATATGATAAATATAAATTTAGAGGGGCAGCTAATTTGCAATAAATTAATTCTTGTAGATTCTTTATTCTTCAAGTGTAAATAAGGAACAAACAGAAAATCTTTATAAATGTGACATTTTTCAAACATGACAATTTTATTTACATTTTGCACTTGTGGCTTATTAACCATTGCCAAATTAAATCTATATATTTTTAACATATATAAGTATTGTACATTGCGTGCTAGTAGTAATAAAACAATACTCAATGTGTAATAAAAAAAGCTAAAATTTATACTACTAATAAATATACATTTATTATATAATTTATAAATGTACATTTTATACATATGCTACTGGTGAGGAAATATATATATATATATATATATATATATATATATATATATATATATATATATATATATATACACACACACACACAAATATGTACACAAAATATGCGTGTGTGTAAATATATTGGCTGTTATTTCTATTTTTGTTTCTTAATTTACTCCTTTGTTTTTTAGCCTATGAGTGGGCATCTGTTGCATGTTTATATTTTAAACTGTGTACTAACTACTACCAATTTTCTGATTTACTCATATGTTAAATAATTTTATATCTACGTTTCATAGATAGTTATTTACTCACTTTAGATATGACAGATTTTACAAGTACAAGATTGCCAGTCAATAAAAGGTTTAATACTGGTTTAAAATTAGAGTTTACTTTTTTCTCTTTCATAAATTCTTACCAAATCATCAGCAGGGAATTCTTTGTTAAAGTGTCTTATGAAGGAACATGTGGTGGTATGGCTCAATGGTAAGAGTAGTGAACTAGTTACTCAGTGGTCTCAAATTTCTATCCCAAGAACCTAATTGGTGATGCTTGTGATCATGCCTTAATCAAATGATTTACTTGTTACTATTTTCTTTTTTGTTCCTCATTTTTTTTTTTTTTAAACTAGATTCATACTTTAACAACAGAATCACATGACTAGGTGTTATGGTCATGTGATTCTGCTGGTCTGAAAGAAAAAGAAAAATGTACTGAGGAAATTTTAAAGCCTGAATACAAAAGACACATGAGAAAGGCCAAAGAATACCAACCAAATTATAAATTCAGAAAACAAAGAAATCTTAACAATATTATGGCCATTTTTAAAAAGTAAGTCATAACTTGGACTTTCAACATCAAACTATAAAATTCTCACCAGTAGCAACTATGAGTAAGACATTTTTTAAAGTTCAGTTTGGTTGATTTTGTTTAGCAGCATATCAACATCTCTATGGGTTATTTAATGTTGAAATCTAAATATTTTGAACACAATTTTATGGCTTCAACCTAATATATTTTGAACACAATCGCATGCTTTCAACTACAGATAAAATTTATTGTTGTTGTTTTACTATAAAAACATTTTTATACTTTCATAGTGTTTTGTTTGGCGATTCATTATTTGCCCATAGCTAGGACCCTTACAGGTGCTACCACTCCATCTGCTTTAAAGAAGGAGAATGAGATTAAATAATCAAGTGGATATCAAAAGGAAAGAACAAGTCTCCATTGTTATTGGAAGGTGATTCAAAAAAAAAGATAGGATAATCTTTTGAAAATGGTCAAATGTTTAGAAAAAGAAAAATTACTGAAACAGAGTTAAAGGCTATATATATATATATATATATATATAAGACGAAGAAAAAAAAAAAAAAAAAAACGAAAGACAGGATGACTCCCCCTGCCTATCCCTTCAAAAATAAGTTAAAAAAAAAAAAAAAAAAAAAAAAAAATGAATAAAAGCAATAAAGAGCAAAAAGAAAAGTTGTTGATTGAAATGATCAATGCAAAATACCTGAACCATTTCAGCTGTTATTTCATGCAAGAATCATTGTCAAATAAGGAATGGTTTGTAGAAGTGTGAAAGCATTTTTGCTGGGTGAAGGGTGGGGGGGGGACATGAAGATAAAGAATTCAGATGTGAAATATTCTTGATAAAACTGATAAATGTTACTTGTCTAAAAAAAGAAGAAAAGAAAGTGACAGGTGTATACCATAATCTGTGTGTGTGTGTGTGTGTGTGTGTGTGTGTGTGTGATAGGATATAGCTCAGTAGTAAAGTATGCAGTGACTGGTCATAAGGAACTTTCTTTTGAACAAATTCAAACTCATCACAATTTTATATGAATCAACAGTGGTTATAAACTAATCATGTATACATATTCCCACATTTAAAGGCATTTTTAAAAGCATATGTGTGTGTGTGTGGGGGGGGAATAGATTTTATAAAAGAATTTTATAATCCATACAATATTTGTATACGATGGCATAATGCTGAAATATGGGGTTGACCCGAAATATTTGTTATATTAATGAAATTAAAAAATTTGGAGGCAAATTTTACTCCATTCTTCTTTGCATATTTTCTTTAGGTCAAGGATGTTTTTTCGGAGATCTTTTATTAACTTGAATCTTTAATAAATGCCACAAATTCTCTATTGGATACAAATCTGGAGACTGATGAACATTCGAGTGTATTAACATTGTTTTCAGTATGCCATTTCTTCATAGATTTAGCCATATGTTTAGGGTCATCATCTTGTTGCAAAACCCATTCCTTTGAGAGTCCAAGCTTTACTAATGACCCAAACAAATTAAAGTCCAAAACATCTTGGTATATTTTTGAATTTAATCTACCATCTATTATCTCTAAATTACCAATACCATTAGCAGAAAAACATCCCCAAACCATGATAGTGCCACCACCAAATTTCATTGTTGGTGCAAAAGTTGTGCCGTCTTTTCTCCAAATGAGAGTCCTTGATGCTTTTAATTCTTCTTGGATTTCTCTCTGAGTAGTCATTGGATTTTCTTGAATTTGGCACTGAATTCTTCTCATTGATCTGGGAGAAATCTTGTGTGGTGCAGCAGATCTCAATTTTTTTTCTCAACACTTTTCACCTTTTTATACTTAGCAATAATTGAACTAATAGTAGTAAATGATATATTCAGGTTATCTGCTATTTTCCTATAGCTTTTGCCTTCCTTCCAATATTTGATGATCAATTCTTTTTATGAATTTGATATTTCCTTGCCTTTCCCCATGATGAGAATTATTGTGTATGATTTGTGTGTGGAGATAACCTTATATAAAAAATGAATTGCAGAATGTTCTAGATTGTTCCGGCAATAAGATAATTGGAAGAATCTAGCAAAATCTTACTAAGAATTATGTAAATAAAGGTAATTTAAGCCTGTTGATATTAAAGACATATTTAGTACAAATACTGTTTTCACCTCGAAATTTTATAAATAACACATAATTCCATTTATAACAAAGTTTTGTAATTGTTTTTTGCATATTGCAGCATTATGCAATGGCATAGAAATATTGTATGGATTTTAAGTTTTTTCATAAGTTATAATTATATTAATTAAAAGATAGCATGGTGTACGAATATTTATTTCCCCACACTATAAATATATATATATATTTGCCCATAATAACAACCGAGACATAATTATCGTACCAGCCGACAAGGGCGGAGCTATAACCATCTTTTAGACACTAACCACTACATTAAAGAAGCAGAATCACAACTTCAAAATAACAGATTCTATGTACTTACCTCTAGACCCAACTAGCACATTCAAAACAGAATTATCACTTCTCACTCAGAACCTGAACTACAACATAAAAATACCATAAAATCTCTTATTCCTGAGAACCCTAGAACAGCAACATTCTACACTATCCCAAAACTACATAAACTCCCCAAAATCATTTCAGAAAAACACCCTAACACTTTTTCATCCAAACCCACATCAAATTACACAATCAAATAATGAAGAGAACATCTATGAAATTTCAAAAACCCTTAAAATCATGCCACCTGGTAGA